GTTATTTATTTTTATTTATTTATTTAATACTTTATTGCACCAATATTGCAGGACTTGTTTTTTTTTACAACACAGGGGGCAAACGAGCATGCGGCTCACTTGATGGTAAGTGACTACCGCCGCCCATGATCACCCACAACACCAGCGGCATTGCAGGTGTGCTGCAGGCCTTTTGTTTAAAAATTGTTTAAAAATTTTCAATAAGTATAGAGTAGTATGTACAAAAGGTTATATTCCTAAAGGTCTAACATAAAAACTGGTACATGTATATATCTTAATACGTTATGTATGTAATGTATTTTATTAATTTTCCTGTTTCTAAAACTTACACGTTCCAAGTATCGAGCAAGAAGCTATTACTCCCTTAAAAGGCTCAGAATTATTTCAATTTATCCTTGTCTATTTATTGTGTTTACTGTAGCTCTTTAATCCCATAAGCACATCATAAAAGAAAGCCGGGGCGCTACCATGAAATGGAATTCCTAATTTTCGGACTCAATTTTGTGTTTTTGTTTATAAAGAAATCGGCTCAGTAAATGTATCTTGATGTTTTGTTCCTCATATGTAAATTCTATCATAAAAGTTCAAAAGAACGATATTTTAACAATTTTTGATTCTCTTAAACAATATGTATTATGTAATTTTATCATCAAATTTGTATATCGTTCGGCCCCGAAATTTCGGAAAACATTTCATGGTAGACCCTCTGCCTTTCTAGGTCAAAGTATAAACGAGTTATCGCTAACGATGCATAAAATAGAATAAGATGGCAACGTGTGCTGCCTTTTTCTTTCTCATGTGAGCGCAAATTCGTAACGATTCCATCAATAGATTCGTTTGTATTATGTTTAAGGGGATTGTAATTAACAATTTAGTATTAAAAACTTAGCGAGTTCTTTTAATGTTAGGGAAGCAAACGAGCAGACGTTTCACCATTACCTTTTACATTTATGTTTATAATAGTGATTTAACTAATGGATTGTAACCGAATGTAACCTACCAGAACTTACAGTCGGTACGTGAGTGTATGTAGATAACTTAATAACTTACCTACGTTCCTGAAGATTAACTCGTGTTGAAGTTAAATTACTTTTGTTATGTTTACCTGATACCTTAATTCAATTTAAATATTTTAATATAATAAATGCATTTTGTTTAACAAATAAAACAGTGACTACAGATATGATAAAACAAGTTTATTTCGTAGATATAAATAAGAAATATTTTAATTTATAATACAAAATTGTATAGATAAGTAGATGCTGTGTTTCGGTTTGAAGGGTGGGATATGGCGTGAATTTACTGGATACAGAGGAATAACATCTGAGTCCTCAGGAATGGCAACGCATAGGGGGTATCATGGGCGAAACAGTATACTCTGTTATGTCCATGGTACTGCTCATGTCTATAGGCGACGGTTACCACTTTCCATCAGGTGGGCCGTCAGCTTGTTTGCCATTCTAAGTTGTATAAAAAAAAATCTGCATTAAAATAGTTGATAAAATAGCATAGTAAACCATCACATAACATAATTAAAAACTGTATGTAACACGTCAAAAAGTAACAAATAGGACAGGAAGAAGAAGGACGTACGTTAAGTACTAGTTAATATAGTTTATGAAGTACCTTATGTCTAAATCTTATATTATATAAAGCACCAAGTTTAAAAAACGGGTCAACTTTTTGTCAGCTAATTGTCAAATTAACTATATCTTTTTTTATATTAATATTTTATATACTTAAGCACACAATGTACCTTGACGTATCTATATTTAATTATTTAATAAATAAAATGAGCTTTTGCGCATTAAAAAACGTGCAGAATTTATAAGAGAAAATAAATGTAGAAGTTATAAAGGAATCACTCATAACTATTTATCACGCAAAATTGTATGAAAAAGTTGACCCGACCCGCTTTTCTCAAAGCATTTGTATGGAGACACTCTAGCTATACGAGTACATATAATCAAGGTCTAAATATATGGTCTATCTATGTACTAAAAATCGAACCTTTTTTCATATGTTTAAGTCTGATTGAGTGACATACAACCAAATTCTAAATAAACTTTATAAAAATTCATATTTAAAGTAATATTCGTAGCTTTTACCCGTGAATTTGTCCGTATGATCGGGATTAAAAAGAGTGTATATTTTTCTCCACCCTAAATACGTGTACTATCTATATATCAAACAGATATTATGACCGAGCGATTCACTGTTGAGCCGTTAAGGCGATAATACGTAACAAATAAACTCAATTTCATAATCAACCATTCAGCGTGGAAATGCAGCAAGTCTCCTAGGTACCCTACCAGTTGGCAATAATCTTAAAGACTTTTTTTGTCTTTAAGTAATTTTTTAAGGTTTGTTATTATTTGTATTATTGATATTTATAGTACTTATATGGTAGTACTGAGATTTTTTTTTTAATCTTTTTTATTTAGAGGCTTTTATCCTATAAGGATATGTCAGCCTCATCATACCCTAATTTTATAAAATACCTCACATACTTAAAACATTGATACATAAATAAATAATACATAATGTCTTAGTAGTCTATTTTGATAAAGGGAATTATTGATACAAAAATATAGTAATTAAAGATTTTGCCATTCCGGAATGTGGTTCTGCGAGTATATTTGAAAATAAACCAATCTCCTGTCTATTGAGACTATATTTCTGTATCAATACTTCCCTCTGTGTTTTGTATTTCGTACATTCAGATATAATATGGTGAACATCATCCAATGTGTTACAAACATCATAATTTGGATTATTAACTTTTTTCATAAGAAAAGCGAATTTTGCATTTGGATAATGTCCTGAGCGTAATCTAAGAGTTGTAACAACGAAATTTCTATTTGCTTTTAGGTTTGTACTGAGATGTAAGGTGTGTATGGAATAGCTGGATTATATTTCATATTGTGGACCTCTATGGTCTAGTGGTTTAACATACTGCCTTACCTTTAATGATCACAGGTTCGAACCTCGTATAATGCAAATATTTGTATTAATAATGATGACTGTTTGTGTCGCTCTGAATGATTTCTATGTATAATATCGTTATCATCATATCAGCCTTTAACTGTCCACTGCTGAACATAAGCCTCCCCCTTAGGTTTTTTTTTATACAACTTAGAATGGCAAACAAGCTGACGGCCCACCTGATGGAAAGTGGTAACCGTCGCCTATAGACATGAGCAGTACCGTGGACATAACAGAGTATACTGTTTCGCCCACAATACCCCTTATACGTTGCCATTCCTGAGGACTCAGGTGTTATTCCTCTGTACCCAGTAAATTCACGCCATATCCCACCCTTCAAACCGAAACACAGCCATGCAAACACAACTGCTTCACGGTTGAAACACGAATGGGATAGAGGTACCCAAGCAATCGACTTTTGTACAAAGTCTCCCTCTGGTAAAGGTTTTTTGGGTGTTTTGCCAGTAGTTGCCACGCTTGGCAGGCAGATTGGCAACTGAAGTTAGGCTTTAGAAATGTGTGTTTTGGTTTGAAGGGTGGGATATGACAATGAAATTACGGAGGCATAATACTTTAGTCTTCACAAATGGCAATGCGTGAAGAGTATCATGGATCTCTGTTGTGTCCATGGTACTGTTCATATCTATAAGCGACAGTTACCACTTTCCATCAAGTGATACGTCAGTTTGTCATTCTAAGTTGCATAAAAAAGATAACAACTAGTATTTGCCAAGTATTTAATCATAATAATTTTAATACATATAACGGTACTTAGTTTAAACTGTTTTGTTCAGTAATGACTCAAAGTCAACACGCGGTTTTCATTTGTCTAATTTTTCTAAATTACTTGCTTTGTAAGCTTGTTGCGGAGGAGTGAGATGTTAATGGACTTTGTGACTGTTTGTACCAATAGTTTCAAGTAATATTGCTCTGGAAATAATATAATTTTTTTCTTTTTTTACTGTTACAGAAAGAAATATCATAGACAATGTAAACAATAACGTTTTACGAGTATTTAATGACATCCGCATAGACTAGCGTTGTTTTAATGTGTGAACATGGAATGGTAACCCCGCCTATGCTATCGGTTTACGCTGGAGGGGTACTAGGGATAGATAGTCGACCCATCGTGAAAAATTTGACAAGAATTAACCATGATTGTAATCTTTTGTAGGAAACAGAGAGACTATTATTCGACTAATGATGATACTGTCAACTGTCCATTGGTGAACATAGGACTCCTACTATTGGTGGGTTTTTCTAGAAATTCCAGTGGTTTTTATTCGACTGCTCTATTATTAATATACTAGTCTTCGAATTCGAATAATTTTACTAATCAGTAATTCGATGTTTTATCGAATTATTTCGATGTCAATCGATATTATTTCATTATTATTCATTCGATATAAATGAATAATAATAAAAATAAGACTGTAAAAATTAACTTAAATAAATACTGAGCAAACTGTATGACATTTGACAATTGTTTACTTCATTGTGACGTCACTGATACCATACATATACGTTCCGAGTTGCGTTTCTGTGTCCCATTTAAATTGATTTTTTTTATTTGTTATTTTTTTAATAAATACTTATATATAAATTGAAAATAGAGATGGATTCCAGAAAGCTGTCAATTAGTCTATATTAACGAGTAGTATTTTTTCACACAATTGTAATAAAATGTTTATATATTTTTTTTCTACCATAAAGGTAGTAAAGAAGCATATAAGTGTTATGTTTAATAGATAGTAAGTTTTTACCCCCGACTTCGTCCACGTGATTATGTTAAAAAATTGTCTATACCTTTCATTACGATTGTTTGAGCTGTTAAGGAGCTAAATGGTGATAAACAAATAAACTAGCTGTTCATCCAATTAATGAACATATCCCGGTCATTCAGATAAAGTAGCTGATAAAAGCTAGTTACAAAATCACTTCTTCTGTAGTATGTATTTATTTTATAATAGTTTGTTATGCTTCATTCTAAGGTACTATTTTATGTTTTGTTGCAGAGGAAGAAGGCACGGAACTTGAGCTAGAGGCTTTGTACCGGCGGTACTGCGTGAGACTGAAACACGCTCTCTTCGTGTCAGCACTCTGTGTCACGTTGTTCTGTGCTATTGTGCTGCTCTGTGCAGTGTGTATACTGCACTCACATGTAAGTCGATTTTTATTGTAAATAGCTGGATATTTTGTTATAATTTTTTTATTTTAAATATTTGAATTTAGAACGCCAAATTGCTTTACTGCAAGTAAATTTTACTTTGCAACAAGTAGTTTTTATTTCGTCATTAAAATGGTATCATCATCATCATCATTTCAGCCATTATCCGTCCACTGCTGGACATAAGTCCCCCATAGACTGCCATAAAGAAAAGTCCTGAGCCACCTGTATCCACTGACTCCCTGCAATGCATTTCAGGTCGTCATTCCATCTAGTGGGGGGTAGAAATGGCATCATACACGACATAATTTTTTGTATAATATTTAATAATATGTTGCGGGACCATACTACTGTGGATTCTATTATATATTTATTTATTTCAAATAAATAAATATATAACAGCACGATATCTGACCACACCTTGAGCGAACACAGTGAAAATATGCCCATATTGTCTTATGAATACCAGAGGGAGACTTTGTACAAAAGTCGTTTCCTTGGACACCTCTGTCGCATTCGTTTTTCTATCGTGAAGCAGTTGCGTTTGCATGGCTGTGTTTCGATTTGAAGGGTAGGATATAGCAGTGAATTTACAGAGTACAGAGGAATAACACCTGAGTCCTCAGGAATGACAACGCATGGGGGGTATCTTGGCCGAAACATTGAACGAAGTATATCCATGGTATTGCTCATGTCTATAGGCAACGGTTACCACTTTCCATCGGTTGGGCCGTCAGTAACTAAATCGCATAAAAAAAAAATGAATGTGATCAATCGAAAAGAGAATATTCTGTCTGTAGTTCTGCTTTTAAAGGTTGTCATTTTTTTTTTATTTATAAATAGATTTTAAATGTTCTGACATGTTTATTTGATAAATTACTCGAAGTCTTTTGATGCCACAATATTAATTAAACAGTTGCTTTAATTAATGAGAAAATTAAATGCTAATCGAAATTAGAGGCGCCGTGTAGTGTGAGTGTATCCACAAACGATAGTTCGGGTTTAATTAATCAATCATAATAAATTTACCTCGTGGAATTTCAATAAGATTTACGTTTACAATTCGTTAAGGTATATTTTATATTATTAGCGGCCCGTCCCGGCTTCGCACGGGTGGACATTTTTATATTTTAAAAAGTGGCCATTAAGGCTGCACACGCGACAGAAGCTTAAAAATGGAGTAACTTCTCCCGTTTTCCCAACATTTCCCTTCACTGTTCTGCCCCTATTGATCGTAGTGTGATGAAACGTATACTCCAACCTGCTCAGGAGTATGAAGAATAATTGTACCAAATTTCGTTAAAATCGGTCGAGTAGTTTTTGTTTCTATAACGAACATACAGACAGAGAGACAATATTATATTGATTGCATTTTTGGCATCAGTATCGATCACTAATCACCCCCTGATAGTTATTTTGGAAATATATTTCATGTACAGAATTGACCTCTCTACAGATTTATTATAAGTATAGATTATTCTCATATAAGTTGATAATTATCCACTGCTGAATATAGGCCTTTCCCAAAAAGGGAGTTTTGGTACTAGTTGCCACGTTTGGCAGCCAGGTAGGCAACCGCAGTTAGGCTTTGGTGATGATTTAGAGGGACACTGCTGTCCATACCTCGACCATTACGTTTCCACATTTTTCTTATATCATCCTTCAACTGTCCGCTGCTGAACATAAGTCTCCCCCTTGGGGGTTTTTGCCAGTACTTGCCACATCTGGCATACGGGGTGGCAACCGAAATTTGGCTTTGGTGATGTGTTAAAGGAATGCTGCCTCTTATCACCTCAGTTGCTTCTTATGATACCCACGAATATAGAAGGGGTAGCCCATTCTATTCCGAGATGACACTGTATTAATCAGTGATTAGTATAGGTATATTGTACATCACTTATGGATGGGAACATCTAGGCACTAGCTCACAAGTTGTATCAAACCCTTGAAACTGAAGAGAAAAGGAAGAAATCCCAAAGGAATTATTTTACGTGATGCCTACGGCCAAGTTCACCTATTAAAAAAAAAACGCGTACATGACTCCTTTAATGTCGCAGAGGTTCACAGGCTACAGTGACCGTTTACTATCTGACTAGCTGTATGCTTGTTTATCATCTCTGTGGTATGCAGAAAAGTCTTTTAATTTTTCATCCGTGTTAGCCTTAAAATAATTTTGTACGCAGTGTAATCGGTTTTTCTTGTGTTAATATTGTAAGTGAAACACAATTGGTGTATATACTCGGAGCAATTAGTGACTGATATATTTACGAAAGACTCATGTTCATGTATATGTATGTTGGAAAGGTGCCAATTTCCACATCTTTCACTCTCATCCTCTCATCTGTCTATTTTTGAAGATAAACTTCTGTAAGGACGGCACACAAATTTTATTAATAAGAGAAGCATTTGCTTTGACAAGAAAATATATCAACAATTTCAATCGTGAACAACATACACATGCGCGTACGCACCTGCATGCGTGCGTACATACACACACACACACACACACACACACACACACACACACACACACACACACACACACACACACACACACACACACACACACACACACACACACACACACACACACACACACACACACACACACACACACACACACACACACACACACACACACACACACACACACACACACACACACACACACACACACACACACACACACACACACACACACACACACACACACACACACACACACACACACACACACACACACACACACACACACACACACACACACACACACACACACACACACACACACACACACACACACACACACACACACACACACACACACACACACACACACACACACACACACACACACACACACACACACACACACACACACACACACACACACACACACACACACACACACACACACACACACACACACACACACACACACACACACACACACACACACACACACACACACACACACACACACACACACACACACACACACACACACACACACACACACACACACACACACACACACACACACACACACACACACACACACACACACACACACACACACACACACACACACACACACACACACACACACACACACACACACACACACACACACACACACACACACACACACACACACACACACACACACACACACACACACACACACACACACACACACACACACACACACACACACACACACACACACACACACACACACACACACACACACACACACACACACACACACACACACACACACACACACACACACACACACACACACACTTTCACACTCACACGCACACTCAATCACATACACACACACATACATACACACACACACACACACACACACACACACACACACACACACACACACACACACACACACACACACACACACACACACACACACACACACACACACACACACACACACACACACACACACACACACACACACACACACACACACACACACACACACACACACACACACACACACACACACACACACACACACACACACACACACACACACACACACACACACACACACACACACACACACACACACACATACATACATACATACATACATACATAATACATACATACATACATATTACATCAGTACATCCATTACTAACACACACACATACACACACATAACTGTATAGGCGGATAAAGGAAACACTAAATGTCATGTCATATAAGGAGGTCAAAGATATGACCAGGGATGGAGCTGGCTGGAAGAAAGTGCTTGAATTAGTTGCACCGACAAGAGAAAACTCTTAAATAAAAAAAAATATTTAAAAGCTGTCAAATGAAATAATGTAACCAGGCATGTATAATACGCAGGTTTTGAGACGAACACAATGAAGTTAACAGACTGGAACATCCATGTCGCTGATCTTGTGAGATAATGACCTCTTGTATTATGTTTCATAATAGCATCTAATTGACCTGGCTCAGATAGTGTATGACTGAATTTGATACATTAGCTAAAGTTAATTGTATTTACTAGTTGCAACCTGTGACTTTGTTTATGTGAATTTATATAATTTGCATGTTGTTTGTAAGATCTGATCCGTCAGAGGAAGGCTTTGTATTAAGTCTGTTTAAGTATATGTGTTCCTTTTGAGTTTCTACATACCGGTAGTTATATTTGATTGAAACAGTGTAATTTCACTGTCATATTGTTTTGTAGTCATTTTTTAGGTCATGAACCGCGCTCATGAATAAGACCTTCTTTTGAATCCGAAACTACATAGTTAAGCATTTTTGAAGTTAATTTGTGAGCAAAGCTAATATAAATACCCATAAATACAGTATAACTAACGATAGTTATCTACACTAATACTCGTATAAAGTGGAAAGATTTGTATTTATGTGTGTATGTATGTTTGTAATGAAAAAACTCAAAAACTAATTTGCCCATTTCAAAATTTTTTCACTATTAGAAAGCTACATTCACCCTGAGAAATATAGGCTATATTTATTGCTAGAAAAGCTTAAAGCTTACTAAAACTTTAGTAACGTAACTCAAGGTGTAAAAAAATGCTATAGAATATCTTTGGTCGCGTGCGTTGCGGAAACTATTGGTGATAGAACAAATGTATGTTCTACAATATTGAAGAAAATATCAATAACTATATAAAACTTCACGATACTATATGTCCAACTATTATCGTTATGTCACAATAACCACTATTTAAAATGTTGTATAAATGTCCACCCGTGCGAAGCCTGGACGGGCCGCTAGTATTTATTAAAAGTCATACTACCTGAAATATAGCAGAAAACAATTTCAGACGGATATGAGCCTTCTTTTTTAAACGCCCCTTCAAATAATTACCTACATCACGTAAATAATTAATAATGGCTCTATATGCGCCTATCTATAATGTAATATAATTTCTCCGCATCTCGTCCAGAGGGCTTATCTCAGGAACATAATTGGGTTATTG